TTTTTTTTTTGTTAATTTTGGCCCCCAACCTCCAATCCTTCTAGAAGCCCTTTATATAACACATTTAATGTACATTTTGGAGCATCAAACAGATTAAAAATACACGCTCAAACAACCAATTCTAGTATATGCTCGCAAGTAAAAAGCTTTTGGAAAGCAATCTCTCTATTTAATTAATTCCAAACAGAAGCTAACACAAGTTGGTGTTAATTACTTTTTCCTGTTGTTTTTCATAAAAATAACGGACTCGGCCATTGACCCGACACGAGTATAGATCCGTGCCGAGGCTAGTTCTATGTTTTGGAGCCCGGCAGCCCGGCTCAGGTTTTGGCAATGTCTAGGTGGATAGCAATAGCATATTGCCCCACTTGGTTTTACACAATTTGGTGTTACTTTTGAGTTCACTTTGTCTCCACACGTGTTGTAAAATGATCGAAGGACATATATATGTTCTTACAGTTAGGGGAGTTAAAATGGTTTTTTTATTTCGAGCAATAACCCCTTTTTCATTGGAAAACAAACATGAAATTAAATACCTAATTTATTATTTTCATAACATATGATATGAAAAATATATGCAGAAGTTAAAGATAGAGTTGTACCATCCCCGAAATTAGGTAGCATGTGCATGATTGAATGGTTTACAATGATGCCACATATAATTTTATTTATAATTGCACGGTCCAAGCCAATATATACACAATCTATATATATATATATAATTGATGGCAACCAACAATTAATAATAATATTAGTTCATTTAATAATAATAGGTGTTCATTTAATAAAAATATGTTTACCATTTAATAAAAATATGCAACTTTCAGTTACACGATTTATTTTGATAGGTCTCGTCTTGGATGGTGCCAATTTCTGTAACGTCTTTTTATTTCTTGATATACAAATATAATGCGAATATAATAACAAAAAACCAGTTACACAATTTATTTTGATAGGTCCCATTTTGGGATGGTGTCAATTTTTTCTTATAATTATAATGCTAATTTCTAATAATTATAAAATGTGTACTCATTATATAACTTACAATTTTAAATAATATTTTATTTGTATCTGTGCATGTGCATATGATGGAAAACTAGTAAATAGAAAAAAGAAAAAAGAAAAAGAGTTAACCATTGCAATATGTAGTAGTGGTGGTTTTATAAAAGAAAATTAAAAGGTACTATACTGTT